TTACTCTCTTGCCTAGTAAAATGTTTGAAATCTTCAGGACAAGGTGTCCTTGACAATGCATTTACGTTGCCATGTGATTTCCCGCTGCGGTGTTCAATCACGAAGTCGTATTCCTGCTGCTGGGTGGTGCTGTTAACCGCACAAACCTCTCGAGATCGATCACCTTCCCTTTTTACAAATCGCTTAGGGCAGCTGGATCGAAGATGGCCCCTTTTCCCAGAGCCGTAGCACCTAGGGCTGTATCCATTATTGCGGTCGCGAACTGTAGCTGCTGCAACCTTCCTGACGCGATGGGGACGATGATCCTGCCGCACGGCTTCCACCTCCAGTGCACGGGCCAAGGCGTCCTTAAGCGTCTCGTGGTGCCCGAGCCTCACAGCAGCTCCGACTTCCAGGTCGCGGATGCCGTCAATGAATGTCTGCACCAGGTTCCCTTCAATGAGCGCAGGTACAGACCGGTATACTTTTCGCACCAGCTTCTTCACCTCTAGAGCCCACTGCTGCAGGTTTTTGTTGATGCGCTGCACGCGATCTTTAAGCTGCGCACGAAAGACATTCCATAGGGTGAGCGTTGCCATATCTCGCCTCCAATGCCTCAAGGAGCTACTCATAAGTCACTTCCTCACCGAGAGCTTCCAGAACAGTTAAGGCCTGGTCGCGCAGGCCTAGTATAAGAGCAGTCATGGCCTGACTTTTGTTCCAGCCGTTAGCTTTCATAACGGCTTGAAACTGGATTTTTTGAGCTGACCAGGAAGAAGTCCCGTCGAACGGTGGCAATTTGAACCCACGTAGCGAAGGTATTGTGGCTACTATGGGAGCTGTAGTTCCATCTCCAAGTTTGAGTTCGTCCAGTGATTTCTTCATATAAGCCATTACGTTGTCAACCCGATTGTTCACTTGGTCGATTCGGGTTTCAGCTTCCTCGATTGGGGTTTCAGATTTTGCGATTTAGTTTTCAGCTTCCGACAGGTGGTTGTAATGCTAAGCAACCCTATCCTTCACCTCCTTTATCTCCTTCCTGAAGGTAGCGTGAAGGTCCTTCATGAGGATTATCTGCTCTTCCAACCGACGGGCCTGTTCCTCTTGTCCGCCCCGCAGCTGCTCATCCAACTGACGGACCTGTTCCTCCTGTCGGCGAGCCTGTTCCTCCTGTCCACCCCGCAGCTGCTCTTCCAATCGGCGTGCCTGTTTCGCCTGTCGGTGGGACTGTTCCTGCAGCATCATCATGAGAGCACCTAAGTTAGGTGCTGCAGGTGTAGGAGCTGCTGACGGGCCAGCCTCCGTGGCTGGCAGTTGGCCCCCCGACGTCTGCGGTGTTGCACCACCAAATCTTCTCTGGTCCGTCTCCTGCTGGCGTTGACTTCGGGTACGGACACCCTCCGTTTCCTCCTTAGATAAAATCGGCATGATTTTATCCCACTTCTGACACCAATTGTTACGAGCTTGAGGTTCGTGACAGTAAAAACTGCCGATTGAATTACCAAAATTTACACTTTACACTAATTAAAACTTAAAACACTAATAATTAACCACACTGATTAACTTTATTTCGTTCCAAAGCTTCGCTTGTCTCGCCAAATTCAATACTGCCCTGATCGTGGCATGCAGCAGGTTTAAATACACGTTTACACCGAAACATCCAGAATATTCCCATAGATACGGGCGCTGACCGACCAGACGCAGAAAGTTCGAGTGTCGGGCTTCAGAAAGCTTAGTTCTTCAGTTCGATACTAGATGGCGCTATTGGTTGAAAGATTAGTCACGTCATTTTCTGGAAAACTCTCCTCGCTAGACGGCGCTAGTGCCAGACGTCAACTTAGGCGCGCAACGTTTGATGATTTTTTATGACTTTCGATGTCATTGAAGTCAACAAGAAAGTTATGATAAACTTCGGATGGCCTTTTACGGTGAAACCCCATCTCATGCCACTGTTTGCAACTGGTTACTACGCACTAATCTGACTGACAATCTGCGTGAGGGACGGCCGTCTACGGTGACGACTAAAGATCAGTGTTGTGTTGCGTATGATAGAAACTGACATAAGAGTGACTAATCAGCAGATTCGGACAAGCTTAGACATCGGTATGAGTGAAGTCCACAAAATCCGCACTGAACATATAGCGGTCAGGAACCTTTATGCCCAGTGGATACCTAATAATTTTACAGAGGTCCAAAAACTCGGTCGTGTTGGTTGGTGTCGTGGAATGGTTCAACGATTTAACTGAGGTGACTCAAATGCTGTGTTCGACACAATTACGTGTGATAAAAGCTAAAAGGGTGATAAAAGAAATTACGGGTGAAAAAAATTTATTTGTATGATCCTGAAACCAAGAGACAGTCTGCTATCTGCCTTCACCACGACAACGCCTTGTCGCACACCGCCAAACAAAAAATCGACTACTTGGGGACGTCAGACGTGGAATTACTGGGTCACGCGCCTTGAACTCGCGATTTTTATTTATTTCCGAAAATAAAATAAAACTTCGAGGAAAACGTTTTATGGACGCCGAGGAAGCATTGGCTACGTTTCAAAATACCTTCGAAGACCCCTAAGGACGAATGGGCAAAGTGCTTTTCTCAGTGGTTCCATCGGATTCAGCAATGTATTGATGTAACTGGACACTATTTTGGAAAGTAATAGTAAAACTAATAACTTGTTAGTTTGTTCAGTTTTGGATTTTCTAATAACTATCAGTGTCACCCTCGTACGTTGCATCGTGGCTCCAATGCAAATACGGTATTTTAAATAATATTTTTTTAAATAGTTATAATGCTATCGAAACTAAACATTCCTATCCAAATAACTTAATACCTAAACGTACTACATTCCATAACGTCCGAAATTCTCTATAATCTACGTAGATTATAAAAAAATCCCGGATATGAACCATGGCTGCATAAAATTTTAAAGATTTATTGATAATATCTATATTATCTATTTATTGATAAATATCTTCCATAAACAGGTTTTTATACGACTGATCCCGTCTTATTACAAAATGTAGTAATGTAATATAAAGTAATATGTAATTTAGTCTTAGGTTCAAACTAGAATATGTTTCAATAAAGAAGTCCTTCGGAAATATGGGAAATATGAAATTTTGCGAAAACTGTGACACTAAGGCCATGACTCTTCATAAAACATAGTTTAAGCTTGAAATTTTGAATAAGCTACGTTTTGTAATAAAATGAATTGGATTTATTCAACTGAGGTTTAAACTTACATCTCTACTCGTTACATCGATTTTTTGTGGTTGATTTTTATTTTTCTTCCTGCCCTTATCCCAAGTTATTTCGCCATAGCATGTCGTTCTCTTTCATTGGCCGTCATCTCTTAACTCACCTTTTTTACGCATACCATCCGTAACACAACTCATTTATATTTTCTTAGGTAACACCCTATTATTATACCCATCTTTCACGGCCAATATTCTACTACAAATCGTTAATATTGTATATAAATTACAATTGCTTTATTTTAATAAAGTCGACTTACTGTAACATTTTAATCTAATATTCAACACTTACTTCAAGGCAACACGAGCGGGAAAAAGCTTACACCCGCTAAATAATTCATAGTCAATGCCTTTGAACATCCTGGCTTAGGATTGCAATCGTGCACGTGATTTGTGGCTGCGGCTTCGTACTTGCATGAGCGCTTAGAGACAATTAGTGAAACCAAACGGCGCTCAAAGCATCTGCCTTGAATAATTAACAGTTTATCTTACATAGTATTTCGATGCAAATTGCGCTGCTAATGAAGACAGTTTACTTAGTCTTATACATAATTAGATAGTGCGATTATAAAATAACACTACTTTTGTATTTAATTATTTAGGCACTAATAAGTTTAAGGGTGTAAGTCAACGAGGGAACTTAAGAAGCATTACAGATACTGGAGTAATTTAAAATTTCGTTAAAACGTTTTATTAGTAATCCAAAACTACTAACGTATTTATTTAATAATATTATAGTTAAATATTCAATCTATAATATGGGTATGTCCACACTATGCTATTCAATAATTGAATGCGTCAACGACCGTAACATCAACGTCATTTGAGTTTCTGTCAGTTTGTTAAAATATGTGTGACGGGAACATTTTACTTGGTGGAATATGGGCTTACTTGGTCATAAAAAAATTCAAAAAAAAAACAAGAGAAATTTTCCGGATTTAAGAAAAATGTAAAAATACTTTTAATCATCATCACTTTAGTCATCTATAAAAAGAGTGACAATGGATCCGATGAGTTATATCTTTCCCACTTTTTAACTCAATCGATGTTCATAATAATTTATTGGCCAAAATTTGCAAACCGTCGTTGCTCTGGATCCAAAAATTTGTGGTAAGCTTCTGTAATCTTCAATAACCTTCAATTCCCCGTGCCATCATGTTGATGCACGCTTTGTGGCACAGAAATCCACCCGACGCGAAAAGATGATTATCACAGCGCGCGCTACGCTTTCAACTGTTATTGTTTATATATATATATATATATATATATATATATATATATATATATATATATATGTATATAAATTAAAAAAGTAAAGTTACAGCCTATATACATCCCACTGCTGGGCACAGGCCTCCCCTCATTTCTGAGAGGGTTTTAGGGCAAGGAAGTGTCCGCCGCGCTGCCCCAATGCGTGTTGGCGAACTTCACATGTCTTCGAAATATTTTTTTTCTTATTCCTCAGACATGCAGGTTTCCTCACGACGTTTTCCTTCACCGCTGAGCACGTGGTAAATCAGCACTTAAAATTACTACCAAAAGAGCTACCACGGCTATATTTTAATTTTTAATTTAAGAGATTTATATATATATATATATATATATATATATATATATATATAAAAGATAAACGCAATTTGTCAATTTTATGACATTGTTATATATTGTGTAACAAGAAACTTCACCTCAGTCCCAACTCGCAACATCTGGTGAGCATAAGATTATTAGCTGTCATTGTGCCCAGCTCGCGTGCCAACTCGTCACATGGGCCGGTCCCCGGACCGTCTGTCGAGCAGCTATCACGCGGCGGTTCGAACCGGCTCTCCCTCGATGTCCAACAGCAGCGAGCCGCCGCTGATCCCGCACGCCATGAGCCAGAGCTTCGACTCGCCCGGACTCATGTACAAAAAAAAGCACAAGCGTCAAGGGCATGCCTCATGTGCGCTGTTGACTGCACTTTGGCGCATGCCCTTGATGAATAAAAAAGACCACAGTGTGGTCATAGCTAATGATTTTGGATCATGAATTGATGCGAGCAATCGGTCATTCTGTAGTTATTATTAATCTATGATCATTCTGTCCCGAGCATTCAAGGCGAGTACACGTGCGCAAATTGTAAGGCTTGAGTTTAAGAGTGTATAAAAATAAATAATTGTAAATGGATATTTGACGTTTTATTTGCAGATCTGAAGAAAACCCTTTAATAGTCTGTCCTTAGGTTTGATAACCCTCCTACCAATAATGCTCCCTATAGCGGTAGAGACCCATATCCAGCTGTGGACTTTAACGGGCTGATGATGAAAAGGAAGAAGATATTAAAAATAACATAGATAGAAGATAGAGTTTAATAAAGCAGTTTGTTGTTAAAAGGACGTTTGAATTTTAATTTTGGTATATACGTATCGCAGCCAAATAGAAGTGCTTGCTGTACTGTGTTCGGTCAAGGTAGCCAGTAGAGAGCACTATAATTACACATTATTCAGAAACTATCGTTTTCTACGAATTTTTATATAGAACTAGCGACCCGCTTCGGCTCTCCGTGGGTGAAGGCTGAATTTCAACAACAGCGCCACCTTTGAACACATTCAAATTTGAAGCTAGTGAACTATCTAACGACCCATTCAAACATACAAATAATTTCATCAAAATCGGTTAAGCCGTTTTTGAGTTTTAGCGAGACTAGTGGACAGCATTGGATTCTTATATATCGAGACAAATGACAAACGAGCACACAGACCACCTGATGGAAAGTGGTTGCTAGAGCCCGTGAACATCTACATTTATACTCAATTAAGAATTGTATGTGCGCCATGAGGGGTGATGAAGGACTGAGACGGAATGCCACATTTCAGGTAAAAAAGGTCCCCTGTTTTCTTCACTAACCATACGGAACACAATAGCATGAAGCTGCTAATGTAAGTTGGTATGTTGTGAGAGCGTAGTTCTTCGCCGGTTGAGCCGACCCATTCGTACTTCAGCTGCAATATATGCGTAAAATTGACAAAGGTACTTAATTTTAAGCAAAAAGATGCTGCGCTAAATACCCCTTTATCGACCCTCGAATGTAAATAAAAATGCAGATGCGTTGAGGACTGATGACCTCTGAGGACTGAAATATAATGCCTTGTTAAATAGTAGAGGAGTCTCAAGTTCTCGTTTTCGCATAGACGTCTTCATACTGCAGTGGCTAAGCTTTTGGTCTTCATACCGCAGTGGGTAAGTGTTTGGTTGCGGTGTTGCAGGATCACGGAATCGCATCGCGAGCGGAATCGCATTGAATGGTCTACAAATAATAGTATCGTATCTAAATGTGTGCTTGTGCAATTTATCTATTTGAACCACTTTTACAATCCAGGAGAAAATCCTACAGTGAGGTTATTTTTTGAACTGACTTCAAAAACGGAGGAGGTTCTCAATTCTTTCTTTCTTACTTCTTTCTTTAATTAATTCTTATTTTCAATCGACTTAAGAAAGGAGGAGGTACTGAATTCGACTGTATTATTTATGTGTGTCACCTCCTTACTTTTTCTAGGTGATCCGATTTCGACAACTCCTTTTTATTTGAAAGCTGATGCTTTTTATGTGGTCCCCTTTAAATTTGATCAAGATCAGACCAGTAATTTTTGAGTAATTCTTAATAATGCGTATTTAACTGACATTGACTATATTGGTGATGTTTTTTTATTAAAGTTGGTTGTACATTTTTTTTTAATTTTACCACTTTTATTTTAATGTGTGTATCACATTAAAACAAAAGTGGTAAAATTATCCCAAAACTTTTTTCTAGGTGAACCGATTTTGATGATTCTTTTTTTCACTTCATCTATTACTATCATCATTAAAGCCCTTCACAAGTCCACCGCTAAACATTGGCCTCCCCTAAGAATGCCACAAAGTACGGTCGTGAGCTGCCTGCATCCATCGACCTCCTGCATGTCTTACCATGTCGTCACTCCGTCTAGTGGGGGGCCCACTGGTACGAGGCTGCCACTCGAGAAACTATTTTCCCCTTTGGTTGTCGGTTCTTCGAGCTATATGGCAGGCCCATTGCCACTACAGCTAACTAATCCGTTGGACTACGTCGATCACTCTGGTTCTACTGCGGATAGTTTATCACGCTGAGAAACCCCGAGCATAGGCCTATCTATAGCTCGTTGAGTGACCTTGAGCGTTCTCATACGGATAGCAGTGAAGGATCTTGTCTCAGATCCGCAAGTCATCACTGACAACACGCACTGGTTGTACAATGTAGTTTTTGGTTTTGAGGTATACTGGACGAGAAAATGTGTCGTAATTTTCCGAACGCTGTCCAGCCGAATGGGATTCGTCGATTGACCTCTCGAACGAAGTTGGACTTACCTAGTCGGAATCTTTGTCCCAGGTAAACGTACTCGTCAATAACTTTGAACTAAGTGCTCACAACAACAACCGGCATAAGTGTGACGTGGACATTACACATGATCTTTGTTTTGTCCATGTTCATCTTAAGATCTATCCGTTGGGAGACACTATTGAGGTCACTGAGCATAGTGCTTAGGTTAGGAGCATAGTGGTAGGTTAGATTACTCTGGTTTGTACTCGGATAGCCATCGTATCCTTACCGTACAAACACTTCAGCACTTCGGTATACCGACAGTCAACTTGGCACCGCTGAAGGGACTGTAGTACAGCCAAAATTTCAACAGAATTAAAGGCTTTCTCATAGTCCACGTACACAAAGCAAAGTGGCAGATTTACTCTTTGGTCTTCTGTATAATCTGTAATATGTTATGCATATGGTCTATGGTATTAAACCCTTTTCAGAAATCGGCTTGTTTGGGAGGCTGGAAGTCGTCGAGTTTGCGTGCGAAACGACTCGTAATGACTGTCGAAAACAGCACATAGACGCGGCTCAGAAGGGAAATCGGTCTGTAGTTCTTAAAGAGAGCATTTTCGCCTTTCTTGAAGAACAAGACTTCCGCACTACTGCTCCATGCCTCAGAAGAACTGCCACATAGGACGGAACTGAAAAGCTTCTGAAGGACTTTAAGTAACAGTTTTCCACCCGCTTTCAAAAGATCCGCTGTAATTCTATCCTTGCCTGGGGCCTTACCAATTTTAAGGTGCTAGAGAGCCATTCTAACTGTGTCCCGGAGATAAATCCGCTTCACTCATACTTCAGCTTTTATAGTTGGCTCTTTCTGGCAGACAGATCTCTGATAAAGACTTAGAAGCCCTGGTACCGCTCGATCGCTTCTTCAATACGAGCAGAATTAAAGTTGCGTGAGTTCCGCCGCATACTTTTGGAGATCTGTTTGTTCAGTTGCCCATATGCTGTCAAAACTTTTATAGACTGCAGCTTAATTTCCCGTCTGACAGCCATGAGATAAAGAGTGTGATCAAAATTTTTTTATGTTCTTCTATGCTGGGTCTTGCAAAACTCAGCTCGGACCGCGTGACAGGGACAGTTTCCGTGGGCTTATCATTAATATCGTCCACTACATTGTCTTCTTCTAGGCACTGAAAACGGTTTTGTAACTCGAGCTGAAAGGTTTTGAGACTGATGAGGTTCTGAGAGCACGAGGTGGACGGATAATTGATTTCACTAGACGAGACCTCTCCAACTTAACGTTTAGGTTCATTGTGCCTCTAATGATTCGGTGATCGCTGGCAGTTTTCGCCCTTGCGATCACTGAGACATCGCTGAACAGTTCCCGTCTAGTCCTCATAATGAAGTCAATATAATTTTTTGTCGAACCGTCGGGTCTCGACCAGGTACACTATCTGTGAGGCCGGTTCTGGAAGAAAAAAATCCCTCCTCCTCATTCTCTTGTGCTTCTTATTCCTTGGTTCCATATAAATTAGACCAAGATCTAACCAGTAGTTTTTGAGTTATCCTTAATAATGCGTAGTCAATTGACTTGGAATACATTGATGATGTTCTCATTTTATTCGGTTCTTTTATTAAGTCGGTTGTACAATTTTTTTTAAATTTTAGTACCTATTTAAAAAAGAAAGGATTAATGAACCAGGATGTCTATTCTGCTTTAGTAAAATGCACGTTAAAACTTTATGAAATAAATATAAATATTACCTCAGTAAGTTCGTCCGAAAGGTTAAAATTCGTATTTATGAAAAAATTATAAAAATATCAAATACTTAGTATAAAAAATCTACGCAAGAAAATATTAAGATAACTATTGTAGACGCAAACGAAGGGTCTTCGTAGTCATAAATATTTTTTTATTCGCCATCTACACGAAAAGACTCCCTTTTAACGTGCTTTTTCCTAAGTATTTCTTTGTTAAATGCAAATTTTTCTACTTTTATGTAGGAAAGGAGCCCATCCATCCTGATAATAATAGCATTTGACCTCGATCCCGCCTTAAAGGAAGTGACGTTGTTGTGAATGATGTGGATGCTAGTCTAGCTAAAGTCCTGACATCTCGCACTTTTGCTTTATAATACGTAAATATTTTATTATTGAAATCACGTTATAACTAATTGCGGCTTTGTTTAAAGACGCTTAATTTTTTCTTTTTTTTTTTAAATAGAAGTAAGGTTGAAATAAGCACACAGTCCATTTAATGGCAAGTTGATGCAATGGCATTTTAAACTGATGTCTATCCTTGGATCGAAATCAAAACGTGGCTACTTATCCTCGTGAATGCCTCATTACTAGTTAAAATAAAAATGTACTCTTTAGTCTGTTTGTATTTTTAACAGTGTATATTAGAACGTACTTAAAGTAAATATATCTCAAGGAAGTTTACATTGGTATATGACCTATTTCGTCTGTGAGTAATGAGTAATTTAAACAAGAGGAGCCAAAAACAACCCGCTATTTTGCATCGCCCTTGTTAGATTATAGGTACTGAATTAATGAAAATATTGCGTTGAAAGCATTTTAGGAAAATAATTAAAAACGTATTTCATTATTTTAATTCAAAAGTATTCGTACTAATTTTCAAGTAACAAAAATTATGTAATAATTTTCCTTCATTAGGAAGTTTATACCTACGGTCCTTCTCCTATGAGAGATAACG